TTCTCGTCAGTTGGAACATGCCTCCAGGTACAGTTACCAGCCTTTTCTAAAACCTCAGCAACGCGATTTCACACAAAAGGCTGAAGTTTAGAAGGCAACATCTGTAACCATCCCAATACTATGGTGGAGTCAGTCCAACAGTAAGCACGGCTGAACCTTACTCTTAAAGAATTTAAAACTTTCTCGTATATACGAGCTCCAACTACCGCACCACACAACTCCAATCTAGGAATAGTGGTGGGTTTGATCGGCGCCACTCGACTTTTAGCCATTAATAAACGAACCATGTACTCACCGTTATCATTCATACTACGGACATAGGCGCACGCACCGTAGGCGCGTTCAGACGCGTCTGTGAACACATGTAGTTCTAATAATTTATAAGAGTTACATATTACTCTTCGCGGTATATGAAAACTATTCAAAAGCGGTAAAGACTTAATAATTATATTCCAATCAGAGTTATGCTCTGAAATTAAAGGATCATCCCACGAAAGCTTGTCAAGCCACATTCTTTGCAATAACATTTTCATTGTTATTACGAACGGGGATAAAAGACCTAACGGGTCAAAAATACGTGCTATCGCAGAAAGCACATCACGTTTTGTGCTGCTTTCTGACGGCAGTTTAAATTTACATAAATAACCTAGTTCATCGGAATTTGCAAACCAGTCAAGTCCTAATAACTTATTGGGTTGACTAGATCCCATACTTAAATCCAAAGTGGACTGAAATACTTCCGATACTAACTTAGGCTCATTAGACTTCCACTTTCGAAGTGGCATACAAGCCGACGCAAGTACATTTGTGACTTCTGTGCGGATATTTAACACATCATTGAAATCATCCCCTCCAGTAAGTAAATCGTCAACATAGAAATCATGTTTAATTACCTCTGCTATTTTCTCGAGATTACACTCAATGCCTAATTGCTTAATACAGCGTGTGGCAAGAAAGGGTGCACTAGCTGTGCCATATGTCACCGTGTTTAAAGTGTAAACTTTAATAGGATCATGTAACTTCTCTCGCCAGAGCACCTGCTGCAAGTGTCTATCAGATGGATGGATGACTATCTGCCGGTACATCTTCTCAACATCCGCTGATAAAACGTATTTGTGTTGACGAAACCGTAGCAAGATAGATAGAAGGTCATCCTGAACTGTAGGACCTACCATCTGGATGTCATTTAAAGAGATTCCCGATGACGTAGGACAGCTTGCATTGAACACTACACGCAGTTTAGTAGTGCTACTACACTCGCGCAGTACTCCGTGATGAGGTATAAAATAGCCACAAGAACTTAAATTAATGTCCTTATTTTCTGACATATGACCCAAGGTTTTATATTCAGACATAAAGTCACGATATAACATACTGAGGCTTGGTTTAGTCTTTAATCGTCTTTCTAATGAATGTAGACAATTTTTAGCCCTATCAAAAGAATTGCCAAGAACAGAACTATTTTGTTTTAAGGGGAGACGAACACAAAATCGACCATCATTTAATCGTATCATATTTTTAATGAAGTGCTCCTCACATGATTTCTCCTCAGGTAAATAAGTAGAAGACTGTTCATTAATCTCCTCGAGCTTCCAAAAGCGCATTAAATCGCTGCGAATCTCATCTAAGTCACTGCTAGTAGACGAATTAGTTTGCGTAAAATTACAGGTTATTTTATTCGAAACCTCGTTAGTATACTTATAGGTAATAGGCCCTGAAACAATCCAGCCCAACCTTGTTTCACACAACACAGGTTTTCCTTTACCTAATTGTAATCTTTGAGACCCTAGTAAATCCCAAAATAAGTCTGCACCAATTAATATGTCAACATCTGACGGTACATAAAACTTAGGATCTGCTATAAGAGAAATATCTATCTCACAACATGGTATTGCATTCGCTATTAACGGCAAAACAAAACAATATAACTTAGCGCTATAGTTGCTATCTAACGACGTCATATTTACATGACATCTTTTGCCTACGCGTGAAAACGCGTTATTTATGCCATATACCGACCCGGTTATTTCATTCGTTGTTAAATTTAACCGCCTACACAGTCGCTCCGTTATCAAACATGACGTGCTACCACTGTCGAGAACTGCGCGCACGACATGCGCACGATTACGATTATCAAATACTTTAACTAAAGCTGTCGATAACAACACGCCACAATGTCTACGCCCGGCACGGGGCGATTGAGGCGATGCAATACTTGCCGACAAAGCCAAGTTATGCGCATCAGTGACAGAGGACGGCAAACACGTCGAGTGTGGCGAAGACGAGTTATCATATGACTCGTCATTCTTATGACTTGGTGAATCTAACATAAGTTTAGAATCGGATGTGTGTATTAATATGTTGTGTCTGCGTTTGCATAACTTACAACCCGGTTTTTTACATTGATTGGCAAAGTGACCTGTACGGAAACAGTTATAACACACCTTATAACTAGGTATTAATTTAAGACGTGCTTCGTTACTCAACGCTAAGAATTGTGGACAATTGTTTAAATTATGGCTGTCCTTACATTTAGGACAGTGCCTAGAACTAGATTCAAAACTTTGTGTTACAACCATTGACCTAACCTTAGAATATTTGTTATGATTAAACGTGTGGGAGACGTTATTTCGCGATAATTCTAATGTCTCAACTAAGTCAGCGCGGCTGCGCATGAATTGTAAAAAGAAATCAAACGTGATCGTGCTATCTTTGTCTAAACGTCCTTTACACTCTTCCCACTCACGATAGGTTTTCTGGTCTAACTTATGAGTCACTATATAGATTAACAAAGTGTCCCAGTGCTTAACTGACTCACCTAACGTTTCTAAAGCTCTTAAGTTTTTATTCAACTGATCAATTAGGGACTTTAATGCACTAGACGATTCCTTGTTAATAACTTCAATGTTAAATAACGCTGACACATGATTTTGAACTAATAATCTTTTATTGTCAAAACGATCACAAATTAACCTCCATGCCACATCATAATTACCAGCAGAGAACTCCAAAGACTGAATAACGACAGCAGCAGATCCTTCAAGAGACGCACGCAAATAATGAAATTTATTGATTAAATCAATGTCATCATTGCAGTGAATAAGACTAGTAAAGGTGTCTCTAAATTCCAACCAATTACCATAACATCCATTGAATTTTGGAAGTTGGATAGTGGGTAGTTTTATAGGCTTATAATTACTGGCGCGAGTACTTTTATTGCTACTAATAGACTCTTTGTCTTTATTGTATTGTTCAATTAAATCTTGCGCCCTAGATAAACATGCATAATAATTCGAATCAAATTCTGAGCGTTCGGTATACTGAACCTTAACGTCATCAACAATGCACTCCAGACGCAACTGCACCTCATCAAATTGCTCGTACAACGACTCGATCTTACCGGTACGAAGCTGCAGCTCCTTAATGTTATAGCTACTAAGGGGCTTATCACTCAAAGCGTCAAGGTAGCCAATGAAAGCTGTCAAGCGACCTTTGAAGCTCCCTCGCTTCTTGATTAAGTCTTTTTTTTCGGACATACTGGGATACGGGTATTGTCGAACTGAAATTTATACAATAACAACTTAAATAAAGAAATAAAAATCTAGGTTTGTACTACCTACGTTATGTATAATTTGTTGTACAATCGAACAATCTGAAAATGTATATGTTTAACTATTTAATAATTTATTTGTGAATAGATACAGTTAATTTTATTACAATGTTTTATTTGCCAATTGCCTAACTATCCTTTTATAATTACTTTAATTAAAAAACAATCTTAACGTACACTTATTATTAACACGGCTCAAATAACTAAGTTTCATTTAAAAATTAACAATTAATATCTACACTAACCTTTGGTAAGCCTTAATTAAGGATAAATAATACCTGGTCGAGTGTTGGGTGACGATATTAACTGAAAAAAACTTAACACCGCTAGTGCACTCTGTCCAAATGCCAAACCACACCGGCTTCCGAGATTAATATTTTTTTCTTCTTAAATCTTCGCTATAATTTTGTTGAATCTTCAACAAACAATCGAAAACTATCGAATATTACAGCATCCGAGCTCGTATGGACCATGTACAGACTATTATCCGGCTAATAAATTTAAAATAAAAAGCAGCGATGTGGTAAAACTTGTAATGGCTGAACAGTACAGAATGAAGTTAACAATGGTAATGTACCGACATCTATGTAATATATAACATAAGCTTAACGCCACAAAAAAGTAAATAGACGTCCTAAGGGCATACGCACTATTGCGCACGCGAATTGCGTAGGCGCTTCAACATGGATCACTGTGTCGCTCAATTTCTTACGGGTCATGGTAACTTTACGAGTAAGAGCAAGCTTTATTCATTTAAATTAGTCGAGTCACCATTGTGTCAATGCTCAACACCTAACTCTCACTATGAACAGTCTGCTCATCATATCCTCTGGGAATGTAGTCTTTGGTATAATGAACGTAATATAATGCTGAATAGCTTGCAGGTGACATCTGGGGCGGTATACTATGGGGATCTTGTGTCAACTAGGGTGAATTTCCGTGTGTTTAGGCGATTCTGCCATACATATTATAGAAATCAAACATAGCTCACGTAGGACCCGTAATATTTGTGGCCGTGGTGCTTCCCTGTTTAAAAGGGTGTATGCCCATTTTACTTCATTTTGTCTCCCGCTTTGCTAAGGAGGGAAGTGGATTTACTGTATTTCCAACTCCTCCAATTTTCTTCTGATTAATTTCGTTGCGGGTTCCAAGACAGTTTAATTTCTTCCTGGGACTTCCCGAGTGTCATAACTCGGTGTGTTCGTGGGTCACTGCTGTGGATCCTGGTGTACAGGAGTTACAGTGGTGGGCGTGTGGGTGGGATTAGTCCCTAAAGCCACAGATGAGGCCAAAAGTCAGTTCTATGATCAACTGTCGGCAACCGTTCGATCAATAAAAACCAGCGATCATCTTTATATCCTTTATCGACTTTAATGCGCGAGTTGGTCAGGACGCGACTGCATGGGGTGATTTTATTGGGGACCACGGCATCGGAAAAATCAATGGAAATGGCCAACGTCTGTTGGAGTTTTGCTCCAGGTACCTACTGTGCGTGACCAATACGTATTTCAAAGGAAAGTCACTACATAAGACATCATGGAAACATCCACGCTCTGGCCACTGGCACCAATTGGACCTTATTGTAACCCGTAAAAGAGATCTGAGGGATACACATCACACACGCTCTTATCATAGCGCCGAATGCGACACCGACCACTCCCTAGTTGCTAGTCGAATTGCCATATCCCCGAAGAAAATCCACTCGTCCAGACCACAAGGCGTTAAGAAAGTCAATTTTAGAAACGTGAAAAGTGGGGAGATGTTGATGTCATTTGAGGCTTTTGTGCGGAGCGAGACTGCTTCCAGGGATACAAATGCGCCCGTATACGAGGAGTGGCTGAAAGTCAGTGGGTTATCAGAAAGCAAAATCGCAGGATTGGTTTGCGGAAAACGTGGAAGAAATTCGACCATTCCTAGATGAGAAACGGAAAGCATTTTTAAAATACCGCGAACATCCCTGTCCGAATACAGAAAAGGAGTGGAGGTCGTCTAAGGCAGCGTTCCAGCGGGTTGCACGGCACTGCGCTAATGCATACTGGATTGAAGCCTGCCGTACTATACAAGCGTGCGCCGACGTAGGTGACTTTGGGGGTATTTACTCCGGGATCAAGCGAGCGCTTGGGCCTGTCCCTAAAATGACGGCTCCTCTGAAGGAGGTTGATGGCTCTGTCATAACAGACAATTGCCGGCAACTAGCGCGCTGGGTAGAACACTACATCAAGCTCTACTCAACTCCAGCCCACATTTCGCCAGTGGCAGTACAGAAGTTACCCAAATTGCCTACATGGAGCGAGCTGGACGTTCCACCTACCATAGAGGAATTGGCCAAGGCAGTCAAGCGACTTAAACGTGGTCGAAGCCCGGGAGGCGATGGAGTCTTTGCCGAAATTCTGAAGCTCGAGTGCATCGCGCCCATTCTGCACAGTCTGCTATGGAAATGCTGGAAGGACCCCACCCTTACCTTTATATAAGGTCATAATGTTCGCGTCGCACATATCCTGTGGAATGTACCCCACATTCCACAGGATATGTGCGACGCGAACATTATGACCTTATATAAAGGTAAGGGTGACCGCGGTGAATGCAACAATTACCGTGGAATAGCTTCTAAGCATTGTTGGCAAACTGTTTGGCCGTGTAGTTCTGGGCAGAATTCAAAAACTGGCTGATCGCGTCTATCCTGAGTCTCAGTGCGGCTTCCGTGCCCAACGCTCCACAATAGACATGATTTTTACAATCCGTCAGTTACAGGAGAAGTGTCCAGAGCAGAGGACCCCTTTGTTTGTTGCGTTCGTCGATCTCAACAAGGCTTTCGATACCGTCAGCAGGGAAGGACTCTGTACAATACTCGAGAGCATTGGTTGTCCTCCACTCTTACTGAGCCTCGTTCAATGTTTTCACGAAGACATGAAGGGTACGACGGAGGCGTTTGACGTGCGCAGGGGTGTCCGACAGGACTGCGTACTGGCGCCTACCTTGTTTGGTATATTTTTCGCAGTGCTCCAAAAAATACCATCCACCTGCATACGCGGGCCGATGGGAGGCTATTCAACATAATTTCGCTCCTCAGGGCTGAACGCTTTCGCGAGGACTTATATGCAGACTGTCTCCTTTTTTCCGATGACGCAGCCTTGGTAGCGACTTCTGCTCATGAGCTCACAGCCATCCTGGACAAATTCTCCCGCGCTTGTTCCTTGTTCTCCATGAGCATAAACGCTAAAAAGACAGTTGTATTGTGTCAGGGTTGCGCAGACGTACCTCCCATCACGCTGAACGGGGCTCCCTTGGAGGTTGTTGATAAGTTTAGTTATCTAGGGTCCACCTTGTCGAACAACCTGTCGCTCGATGCGGAGATCGACATTCGTGTCGGCAGGGCGGCTGCCACATTCGGGCGGTTAAGTGCAAGAGTGTGGCAAAATAAATACTTAACAACAAAAACAAAGCTGATAATTTTTCAGGCATACGTATTATCCATACTCTTGTACGGCGCTGAGACTTGGACCACATACGCAAAACAAAAACGTCGTCTTAATGCGTTCTATATGCGTTGTCTCCGGAACATCTTGGAGATCTCATGGAAGGACAGGGTCACCAACCAGAGGATCTTAGAAATTGCACAGCTACCGAGGCTCACAGCGCTGTTAAAGCAGAAACGCTTGCGATGGTTGGGGCATGTGCACCGTATGGACTCCTCACGGCTGCCCTGACGTGTCCTGCTTGGTGCTTTAGCACACAAAAAACGGAGTATTGGCAGACCCATGCTGCGGTTCAAAGACTGCGTCAAGAGGGATATGATTTCATTTGAGATAGACCATATGGCTTGGGAGATCTGGCTTGGCTTGGCTGGAGATCGCGATGAATGGAGGAGGCGTGTGATCGATAGGCGCGCAGTTCAAGACAATATCTAGTTCCAGAAGTTGGCAGAAAGAAGAGTGATGCGTCGGAGAGTTACCATGGACCCGCAAACCGGTAGTTTTAAGTGCAGGGTACGCGGTAGAACCTGTCGCTCCAGAATTGGCTTACATAGCCATGAAAAAAGGTGTATGGCTACGGGTCAGTGACTAAATCGTTTGGAATAGACGTGAGAGGCCAATGTATTCTATAACACCAGTTTTTGTAGTCGAAAGTAGTGGCCATACCAATATAGAATCACAACACTCTGAGAGGAATCCAAATGTGATCAGTTCATCTACTGATCTTTTGACATCTAATTTAAGAACAGAAAATCGATTTAATGTTAAATTTTCTTCAAGATCAGCTCCAGTTATAAATAATATGGAAATTGTTTACAACCTCAGTGAAGACAGGCGCCTAATATTTTCAACGAGTATGTTGTATTATATCGACGAAAACATCCCCAATTTAGATAGTATTATAGAATCAGATAAAAGAAATCTTAATAGAAACAGAGTCACAGATATTCATAGAAAAACAGCCTCACCTGTAAATATAGAACGAGAAAGAAGGATGGAAGAATTATGTTGGTTTACAATGTATCCAGATGGCAAAAACGGTTTTGGTGAATCAAGAAACGTCTCGATTACAGCTCTCGATTACTTTCGCGTGTGATGAGCAACGAAGCCCGATTTCAAAAAGTTGATTATTTATTTTTTGCTCTATCTGTGGTAGCGTATTTTAGAACAAAAGCGAGCGTTTCGGTTTCTTGCCGTATAAGGACAAAACGAATTAGTTCCTCAGGGCTTAGTAGATAACAAAAATTTAACCATAAGGATATAAGGGGTTCTGCTTCATACTGGAAACGTTGTTGTGCAGAGTTAATAGCCATCGTACGTTCACTTGGTGCACCGACTTGGTTTGCAACGTTTCCATGTAATGACCTTAACTGGCCAGACATGCTAAAGGCATTACTTATAGCTGATGGTCGCAAAGAATTTGATATTGAAGCTTTGACTTTCCAAGAGCGACTGGAATTAGTTGAAAAATATCCCGTTGTAATTGCACGACAATTTACACTTCGCGTATATCCATTGATTGCAAATTGCAAAAACAATAAAAAGTACTTTTTTTCGTGGGTAGGTGTTAAAAAGTCAATACATAGTTTTCAAAAGCTCTTAATTTACTTAAATTATTTTTACCTAAATTACATCTAAATACAGTAAATTATTATTTATTCTTATAACACTAACAGTTACTATCCTGTTTATACATTGATCTAAGCGTTTAAGCCACCTGCTAGCTTATTTGCTCATTTCATATTCCATCAACAAATTAACATTTTTTTTTTCAACCATCTCTGCAATCTTCGGTAACAATGTCTCAACTTGCTGACATACAAGCGGCACAGTGTAGTTTAGAAGAAAGTTTCTCCAAAAGGATGGCCCAGCTTGAAGCACAACTGCATACTGGAGGTAACTCCAAGGAAACTGGTGCAAGAGTCTCGGAGGAGTTTAGAGCATTCCGGGAGTTAATGTTTAATATGCTGGGTCTGCTTCGCAAGCAAATCCGTGAGTGTGCCAAAATGGTGGATATCATGGAGACCCGCCATCGACGTAAGGCACTTGTCTTTCTCGGAGTGCCTGAAGCCATCAAGGAGGACTGTACTAAGACCTTGCTTGTGATCCTTAATCAGAAGATGGGTCTCAAAGACGTTACAACAACCACCATCAAAACTTGTCACCGGATTGGTGTTCCATCCAAGGACCGTCGTCGCCCGGTGCTGGTAAGATTTTCTTCGGCGGAGGTTCGAGCTGCAGTCTGGAAGGCGAAGACGACGCTGAAGGGGACCGGCTTCTCGGCAAGAGAATTTCTTACTAGAACCCGACAGACGGCCTTCAGCATGGCCCGCCAACATTTCGGCATGTCGGCCTGCTGGACACAAGATGGCACGATAGTCGTCAAACCTTCCGATAATAGCCGCCATAAAATAACATCACCGGATGAGCTGGAACCACTCATAGCCAAATACCCTAAGGCTACATCCCCGCCCAAAGCGAGTTCGAGTACGGCCGCTAAAAGTTCGCGGAGACAGTGACCGTTTTGCACTACTGCACAGTTGTCATCATTTATAGACACTGCACACTTTGGTTGTTCATATAATTAGTTTGTTGTTATCAAAACACAAGTACGCAGGGTTTTTGTATTTCCGTAAGGAGCCAACGCCTGAGTGCCACCACTGCGATGGCCAGACCGTGGACACGGCTCTCCACACGCTGACAGAGTGCCCGGCGTGGGTTGAGCAGAGGCGAGACCTCGTGGCGGCCATCGGAGTGGGAGTTCTCTCGCTCGATAGCCTGATTGCGGCTATCGTGCGGAGCAAGAGTGCGTGAAACTCTGCCGTCTCCTTCTGCGAGCAAGTTATGCTCGCGAAGGAGACGGCAGAGCGGGACCGGGAGGGGTTTAGTTCCCGGCCCGCCAGGCCCGGGAACGGGCTAGGTACCGAGGCTAGGCGACTCAGGCGCCGGAGGTCGCAGAACGACCTCCGTCCTCCATAAGCGCAGGCCTGGGGGTGACAGGTGAGGCCATCTGTCACCCTAGCAGAAGCACCCCGGGGTGGCGGCGAGCGCGTTGCGAAGCGCACTCACTTCCAGAGAGCAGAGGGAACATGGGGTTCCCACACGGGGGGGTCGTCTACTCGTCTGTAGATGGCCCGAGGTATGTCGGGGCACCAGGGACTTCCTTTCTAGGGTATACCTGGTTCCCCGGCTATTAGTACCCGAGAGGGCGTGCGATTTTAGTCGGTTCGAGTCCGACATGCCACCGATAGGATGGGATTTCCGCACGGAAAAAAAAAAAAAAAGGGTTTTTGTATTGTTTAAATTGCATATCCTAAATCAGAACAATTTGTGACAACAACTAGTGTCATCTGTCAAGATAACGTTTGTTTATATATTTTTTTTTTTTAGGTGCGTTCGGCAATTGTATAGTGGTATGTCTGAAGGCGATGTAGATGTTTGTATCGCAGATTATTATAAAATGAGTAAGTGGACTGTATATTTAACTGGTATATTACACATAGAAGGAAATTATTACAAATTAAACAAATTACTATTATATTAGCGCGCAACATGCGCTTCGCCTCACGTTCGTCCGAGGACTGGTGGGCGCGCGCGGCCCGTGCGTCTGCTGCTGACGATATATATATCTATCTATATAATATATTTAATCTATAGGCGCGCCAGCGCGCGCTGTGTCGTAGACATACTGCCGGGCCGCAATTTAGTCCAACAGTGGACATAGTTAAACGCTCGACGGATGGTTCCCGTTTTCGTTTTGACATCGGTCACTCGCGCTATGCCGTCAGCGCCTGGATGCAGTTTCACTATGCGACCCAAGAGCCAGTGGAGTGGTGGCAGGGCATCGTCCTTGATGATTACGAGCATGCCTTCTGTAATTGATCCTGTAGATTTGTTCCACTTCATCCTGGTCTGCAGCTCTGAAATGTATTCTTTGTAAAATCTATTCCAGTAATGTTGACGTAATTGCTCAATACGTTCATGTCTAAGTAGACGCATTGGGTCGCAATCACTGACCTGTGGGCATGGTAATACAGTTTGAGTTCGACCGATGAGAAAGTAAATTGGTGTAAGACATGTTAGATCAGAGGGATCAGCTGATAGTGGGGTCAAGGGTCTGGAATTGAGGATACCTTCGATTTGAACGAGTGTTGTATACATCTCTTCGTAAGTGAAATGTGTTTGATTTAAAATACGATTGAAATGATATTTGGTGGATCGCCCTCCAGACTCGTGCAAACCTCCGAAATGAGGACTCCAGGGAGGATTAAAATTGAATGTAATACCTTGCTCTGCGGCCGCAGCACTTATACTCTCATGGTTTTGTGAAATAAAGTTCCTTATCACTCTCGCAGCACCCACAAAATTAGTACCATTATCTGAATAAATGTGAGACGGTTTTCCTCTGCGAGACATGAAACGGTTTAATGCCAATATGAATGCTTCCTTAGTAGGCTCGGTAACAAGTTTCAAGTGGACAGCCTTAACAGTAAAACACACAAAAATACAAATGTATGATTTGATCAAGTTAGCTCCACGCCCCCTCTTGGTGCTTATCATCACAGGTCCCGCATAATCGACACT